AAGAGCAAACGTTATCTTTCATTGACATTTCCGATCGTACAGTTTCCGACTGGCAGTGTTTCCCAAACAAACTAATTCATGGCGGTGCACCACAGAATCAACACCGGCCGCCACATATTGCGTGTCGTTATTCATTTTGTTTAACGAATGCATTTCCTTTCCCTGCTCTCCCTCACGAGTCTCTTATGGCGTTATTATCCTGTCAGATGTCGAGAGCGCATTATTGTAGCGCGAAAGTACATTAATATTATGCGCGAGCGTGAATCTCTCTGCTCGCGCGCGGAATATGATGTGCGCGAGCGTGAATCTCTCTGCTCGCGCGCGGAATATGATGTGCCCAGCGCAAATCTCTCTGCTCGCGCGCGGGAACTGGGCACGCGCTCTCAGATACACTTCTCTTGTAAGAGTTCTCTCTCTGGGCTGATTGGGCTCGCTGCCTTGCTCAGAGAATATGCCTGCACTTAAAACGTGTTCAGTGCAATCGCGAATTGCTCCTCTTCCCCAGCTAACAATTTTAGGTTATAAGAACGTTTTCATAACGTTCCCATTAAGTTATAAAAACGTTATTTCTGAATGTTCTAGGGAATTTCAAAAAGTCCAGTTTTTTAGACGTTGTATTAACGTTATTTCTTGGTTATAAGAACGTTCAATTCTCCCTTTATATAAACGTTGTATTAACGTTCTTGTTTGGTTATAAGAACGTTATTCAAACGTTCATTATATAAACCTTCTCTTAATGTTTTTCTAAGATAATGAAAAACGTTTCATTCAATAAAAAAAAAAAAAAAAATTAAGAAATGTTTTAATAATTATTAAAACCTTTCTTAATGTTTTTTATATAACAAGGTAGCCTATATAATAGGCCTAGCCTATATGAAGAACCTAAAATTAAAAAAAAAAAGACCCATGAATCATGTCTACAATATGTGTAATGTAGTCCACTGAAGTCGAGTTGAATTGAACCGAAGTAGGCCTATAGTTTATTCCAGTAAACCGATTTGGGTTGAAGTGACCATATGAAATTAACATGAACATAAACTTGGACTAAACATAGAATCACCAACAATGGTTGCCTACAGGGAACAAAGCTAGACAAGAGACAATGGGAACACAAGGACAAGGATTATGACCAAAAACAACCAATGACATCCACAAGTTAAAGTTAATTTAATTTATATAGCTCATTTATACAACAATTTCCAAGTTTATGTTCATGTTAATTTCATATGGTCACTTCAACCCAAATCGGTTTATTGGAATAAACTATAGGACTTGGGTTCAATTCAACTCGACTTCAGGACTACATTACACATATTATAGACATGATTCATGGGTCTTTTTTAAAATTTTTATCTTAATTTTAAAATCTGAAAGTTCTTGTTTTAGGTTCTTCATATAGGCCTATTATAGGCTACCTTGTTATGAATGAAACGTTTTTCATTATCTTCGAAAAACATTAAGAGAACGTTTATATAATGGGAGAATTGAACGTTTGAATAACTTCTTATAACCAAGCAAGAACGTTAATACAACGTTTATATAAAGGGAGAATTGAACGTTCTAACGTTATTATAACCAGGAAATAACATTAATACTGTTTACATAATGGGAGAATTGAACGGTCTTATAACCAAGAAATAACGTTAATACAACGTCTAAAAAACTGGACTTTTTGAAATTCCCTAGAACATTCAGAAATAACGTTTTTATAACTTAATGGGAACGTTATGAAAACGTTCTTATAACCTAAAATTGTTAGCTGGGGAAGAGGAGCAATTCGCGATTGCACTGAACACGTTTTAAGTGCAGGCATATTCTCTGAGCAAGGCAGCGAGCCCAATAAGCCCAGAGAGAGAACTCTTACAAGAGAAGTGTATATGAGAGCGCGTGCCCAGTTCCCGCGCGCGAGCAGAGAGATTCGCGCTGGGCATATCATATTCCGCGCGCGAGCAGAGAGATTCACGCTCGCGCACATCATATTCCGCGCGCGAGCAGAGAGATTCACGCTCGCGCATAATATTAATGTACTTTCGCGCTACAATAATGCGCTCTCGACATTGGACAGGATAATAACGCCATAGTCTCTCTCACATACACGCGCGCACGCACAGCCCCTCCCCTCCGTGCACACCGCGTCTCCATGAAAACGAGTGTTCGTTGAAAGCAAGTTCGCAAAAGGTTGGTATCTCTTGAACACCTTTACACAATCACACATTAAAAAGTGGTATAAAAATATTTTAAATTCTGAATACAATTTTTTCAGTATGTTAATGTCGACCCGAGAAGCCATTGCGCCTTCTTTAGAAAGTTAGCTAACTAGTCGCAAGTTTGAGGTTAAATGCAGTTGGGTTGTCGATGTAAAAACACTAGCAGCTAGGCCTTTAAGCTGTGATTCAAATATTAAATAATGTTATGTCATTTTTTTACTCTTACACTGAATGTTTGCTGCTTTAATCCAGATGAGTATTGTATAGGGTAAATTTAGTATAGGGTGTGAAAATTGTACAGCTGTGGGATTTGGTGTACATTTTGTATAGAAGATGTGTAGATTTTGTAAGAGGTAAAGAGATTGAGCTCCCTGACTAAGCAAGGTCTTGTGTGGCCCAAAAATGGGTTAAATACATGCTGTTCATGTATGTCTTCTTTAGTCTGTTGGCTATTTAGTTTTTTTCCTGGCACACGTCACTTACACATTTTGCACTTACTGTCAGAGGCGGACAGAGTACAGAGCTTTGTTACTTGAGTAAAAGTACAGATACCCCTTGCTAAATTTTACTCAAGTACAAGTAAAAGTACTACATTCAGATGTCTACTTAAGTAAAAGTACTAAAGTACTTGTTTTTAAAAGTACTTGAGTATCAAGAGTACAAGAGTAAATTTTCTAAATATTGCATTACTAATCTACTGCCACAGTGCTTACATTTATGCACAGAAACGTCCTACATGGAGTTATGAAAAATGTTAATGTTAATACCTTGGAGAATGTAAAAGGAATTGAAAGTAAAATCAAGTCATTTTCATCTTTTTACCATGTTGCTTTATTTAATTTAATTAAATTTTGGGGGGGTCCCATCTTTAAATGCGGGGACAACACACACACACACACATACACACCACATGTAAGGGTGGCGCTGCCAATAAAGCACCTAAAAGCTGTCACAAAGAACCGGCAAAAGGAATGATTATGAATATGTAAAATATAGCAAGGAGATATTTTAATTGTTTATTAATAAACACTTGTTAATAAACAAGTGTTTTCTTTGTCAGTGTCGGCTAAGATGAAGTTGGCGATGCTGACTCGGGATCTTCAGTAGTGAACGCGCCAGAGAGAAATGCACATTTCATACGGATTACATTAGCAGAGAGCAGTCTGTAGTCTGTCTTCTTTCGTTTTGAATTTTTCTGTTTAAAAGTAGACATGTCTGTTAGAGGCAAGTAGGCTACCTTATACACTGAGTTTCGGTTCATTTATGAGACAAAATCCAGTTCACGTGCCGGCGCCTCCGTTTCTTATCTATCGTCTGCTATTTACTTCTTATTTATTAAACCCAGGCAATTGGTTGATGAAACATAGATTAAAATTAAGATACAATTAATGCAAAACGAAATTCAGGTTAAAGAAAGGTTTTGTGTTTTCTGTTTGAGGTCTCTGTGAAAGTTTTAAAGCATTTTTTATGCCGCTTTCAGAGCGCTCACGTCCGTAACGGAGAACACGTCCATAACATTGTTTTTTCCTCATAAATGCAAACCCGAAAAATAAAATAAAACAAAATTAATATTTTATGTACTGTGGAGACTGAGCGCCAACCCTTCTTCATTCGCTGGGTAGCCTACTTTGTTTTGCGCAGTGTAATTCACATAATCAGTAAAAATATATTTTGCCTCCTAAAGTTTTTTTTTTTAAGAAATCAGAAATCCCTCGTGGCTACGCCACTGCCACATTTGAACCTGACTGTGTTATACACACCACATACTCAAGAACATCAAACCAAATGCTTGGCTTACATTAATGTGTAATATAAAATCTGACCATGGAGTTGACTTTGGCGGAAAGCTGAAAGTGATTGCTGATAGGCTGTCCCAATCAGTGGCGCCTGCACAATCCAATCACGTTTGAGAGGGAAACAACAAATTGAGGGTGTCCGAGATTTTTCTTTTTTTTTTCTTTACTCGGGTACTCACGGTTATGGTTAGAAATATATTGGAGTAAAGAGTACAATATTTGCCTCTCAAATGTACTTGAGTAAAGTCATGAGTACTCCCCAAAAATGATACTCGAGTAAAGTACAGATCCCTCAAAATTGTACTTAAGTACTGTACTCAAGTAAATGTACTCCGTTACTGTCCGGCTCTGCTTACTGTCTTGTGTAGACTGTTTAGGCTAACGTTACATATCTGTGCCCATATGCACATATTATGTACTGGTGTTATTGTTGAATACATATTTCTAAAATTGTATGAGTTATTATTACACAATACTTTTTCTGACCTTTTTGAATCTTGCCCCTGACAAATAACTCAAATTACAAAAAAAGACTAAAACTAACACTACAAACTGATAAAAACTAAACTAAAAACTAAGCATTAAAAAAAATTTTTAACTAAACTAGCAAACCCACTTTAAAAACTAATTAAAATTAAACTGAATTTGAAAACAAAAAGTCAAAACGAAATAAAAAATAAAAAACTAATGAAAATGCAAAACTATAATAACCTTGGTTTGAATTGAAGGATAATAATTGCCTAAATGATCACACAACTATGAGTAGTCTCGGTAGTTGAATATACTGTATTAAGACAATTATTTTACATCAGTCTTAAATGTATAAATTCAATGTATGCAAGGTCGCATATGCCTAAAAAAGCACTTAAAGACTAACTTAAAGACATATGAGAGGAAGAAGTGCATTTTCGTTGCATAATTGAAAGATGTTAAGTAAAAAGTTCTCCCTTCTGTTTTTTATTTCCCCTGGGTGGGACTGATTTGACGGGGAAGTACGCAACAAGGAACAAATTACATCTCCCCCTATTGTTACAGATGGAGTATCTCCGGTCTAGCCACTGAGCTTCAGTCTCTTATTTATCAGGAATAATATTTTGTATAAGAACCCTGCTGAGGGGAGGGAATTGAGAACAAAGCGACAAAAAAAAAACTGGACTCGGAGATGCCAGGACTCCCCATGAGCTTGTGGAATAACGGTGACAACAAGGCAATGTTGTTCTTCCTCTTGGTAAGCTCAAATGCAAAAATAAATTCTATCATTCACATTATAACAGACTAAGCAAGTCTTCCTATGATGACTAACTTAGTCACACAACAAGACTGTGTTTCTAATTTTTTTTTTTTTTTTTTTACAAACTAAGTAATTCTTATTTAGCAATGGGAATGAGCGGTGCAATGCTGACCTCTAGTGAACTAGACTGTAAAGGTGATGATACACAGGGCAACTTTTTGAGCAATGTTGCTGGGCAATCTTGCCGAGAGATTGTTGCTTGGGCACTTTCCCATTAAAAAGGGGCAATACATTTCTATCTGGATAATTGAGATTGGTCATGGGCCCTGTGTCTCATCTGGTTGCCTGTTGACGGCAACATTGCCCAGCAACATTGCTCAAAAAGTTGCCCTGTGTATCATCACCTTAACTGTTAAGAAATGTTTTCGAGTGAGTAGTAGAGCTTTTTGTTAAAGGTCCAAATTTGATTATTTTCATTGCAAAATAAAACTGAAGACTCAATTCTCAGGTTCTAAATAACTTAGAGAAGTATTTATCGAAATCGGTAATCACATGACTGCTTTGAAATATTCTAAAACAGAAATTCCCTTTTTGTGCAATAATGCAAAAGTAATTTTGTTTTCGGTTTTGTAGCTATCTCTGTATTTTTATACCACTGAATTTGTCATTGTTTCTTGTGTAACCAAAGACACTTGAAATTTAGTCAATGACCCAAAACAAACCTATATGTGCTTTGTTCAAGAGAACTCACACAAGAGAGCACGTGCATTTTTTACGTATATTTTTTGCAGATTCCATTGAGATACTGCACTGGCACAGACTTCTATTTAACCTAATTTGTCTGCTATGGTAAATACAAGGATTTTTGGAAAAATCTTTTAATGACGGAACAGTATTCTAAAGTGTTACCCGTGTTAAGATCAAAAAGTTGTTTGTACAAAGCAAATCACTGTAGAACTCAGAGTGGGACAGCAAATCAGGTAGGCCTATGTAATAAAATACAGCTAGTAAGAACTAAGGTGCTGATGGGAGATCAATTTGCAAGAGCAACTGTGTTGGAGTAGAATGAATATACCTACATATTCTTGACATATTTTCTTGAATATTATTACAGTTCTTGTTGGTGTCCTCCTTGATGGCTTTGCAAGCGGAATACTCTGGTGGGTTGCCTAATTTTACTTTCCTTTCACTAATTGCATCGTATTTGTGAAAAGAGTATACAAACTCTCCGTAAAGTGTCCATGTTACATTTATTGTATCTTTTGATTATATATTAAGCAGTCAGTATAGCAAGTGGGAGATAATTATCACCAAAATCACTTGTGGCTCTCACAAAAGTTCATATGTATAAGTTAGTATACATTTTTTCTTCCCTCTCTTTTTACACAGGGCATCACAGTTTGATCATATACGTGACATTTGCTCCCAGACATGGATATTTGCCGAAATACTTGTCATATGGCATGCTTGACGATTACAGAGTATTTAGTTATGACAGCACTTCTGATGTTTTTTCACATCCCTTTGGGCAACTGGAATCTCTTTCTACTGTCTGGAGAGATCTTAGGGATTGCACAAACTTCAAAACCGTCTATTTCAACCTGTTTTCTAGAAATGCAAATCTAACCCTGGGGCTGAAAGGTATAGGCTTCGATATCTTATTTTGGTTCTACGACTCCACTAGAACTATATATATAAAAAAAAAAATGAAATCTTATTATAAATAATATTAATATTATACTGATTTTGTGTTCTAAAATGTGTATTGTATGAAGATGTTTTAATTAATAAATAAGCAATTGTACAAAATTTTTATAAAATTGCTAAATAATTATTATAGGGAAAAGTATGGCATATAAATGTAGAATGAAGAAGGGTTTTTACACTACGATTGTACAAACAAAATCAAAATAACTAAACTCCATCACTTGTTTATACATGAATCAAAGAGAAAAGTTTAAGAGACAATTTCCAAAATAATTAAATAGTCCAAAATAAAATTAATAGTCATTAGCTTAAAAACTTTTTAGTTCGGTTTGTTTGCAGAAATTAAATGAAAAAACTGTTTTCACAGTATAAAGAAGATTTATTAAGCTAGAAGCCCAATGGTTTACAATTTATTGAGTATTATTAGCAGATAATGGATATCAGCTTCTGAACACAGAGCTGTAGATTTAATACTTGGAAATATTAGATTAATCTGACCATGTAATGAGAGAGTTACTGCTTTTGTTTACTATTTTAATAGAGAACTGGTGTCAATATTCTACAATACTGAACCTAGTCAGTTCTCCATACTGCAGTTGGTAGGAATGAAATAATTTTCTAAAAATGGTTCCAATGATGATTTTGTATTTTCAGGTCCACTCCTACAGCTAATGTATGGCTGTCAGCTGAGAGAAAATGGAACATCAAGTGGACTGTATCATTTTTCAGTCAATGGAGAGTATGTGCTCTCTATGGACATGGACAGCCCTCAATGGCTCTCATATTTGCCACAGGATTTGGAAATTAAGAACATTCTAGACAGGTTTGAGCTCTGGAATCACAATAATCTCATATACATTCATCGTGATTGTGTTCCTCGACTCAAGAAATTCTACAAACACAGTAAAACAATACTTGACCAGCAAGGCAAGTGTGTTTGTGCATGTTTAAATGTATCCAGTGCTGTTGTTTATTGCATCCAACAAAGTTATATCCATGTTTTACATTTAACAAGAACATATCGTGCTCAGCTTATTATATTTTTAGATTATCTTAACTGAGTGTGTTTTGTCTGTGCTAATAGTTCGCCCTGAAGCTGTGATCAGAAGCCAGCGTGCTGGTTCTCTCAACTGTGTGGTGACAGGGTTTTACCCTAAAGATATCACTGTGGAGTGGATGGTTGATGGACAGCCAGCCTTAGATGGAATATCAACAGGTCTCCTGCCAAATCATGACCAAACATACCAGATTCAGATGACAATTGTGTTATCTGACGCTACACACAACTACTCCTGTCAAATAAAGCACAGCAGTCTTCAAGAACTGATGGTCCTTACATGGGGTAAGAATAGATCGCAAACATTCCTTTATAAAACACTATTTTTTTTATTCTTGCAGTGTACTTACCTATAGTGGCCAATACAAGGTAGTGTGTTGGGTTAGGGGTTAGTACCTAGTTATTACCCAGTTATTATCATTTCCATAATAAGTACAGATGCGGAACAGGACTGTAAAATAAAGTGCTACTAAGTAATCAAGCAGCTCATTATGACATGATTGACATCAATCTGACTTGATCTTTCTGTTGCTTTCCATCACAGATGCTTCTTCAATTATGACTGATGAAAACAAACTGCACATTGGTTTAATTGCAGGACTTGTTGCAGTGTTTGCACTACTAATAGTTCTGATGTGTCTTACACTGAAGCATGCCATTTGGGGAAAAATATCTGTAATATAATTGCACTTTTGATTTAAATTATATTTTTAAATTATTATTTTCTAAACTGTATAAGTCACTGTCATCCTTAAAGCAATTTTCTGCTTACTATAATAAATTTGCTATAAAAAAAATGAAACTTATATGATAAACTTTATACTTATTTCTCTTTATACATGTATTTTTTTTATTTTCTAATTTATTATATGGTTTTGTTATATTAAACTGATTGTCATTGTATGTTACATGAGATTGATGTTGCCTGTCTTTTACACTTCCTTTACATTTATTTAACTTTAATTTAAAAAATGAACAAATAAAACATTAGCTAGAACTGTCTTGAACTTTTCGTTGATTTTTACATCATTTTCTGATTTGAGACAAATTACATAGTGTAAGATTTAATCTAAGATTTATATTACAGTACATTTTTATACTGTATATGTTTTATTAGAGTATCTTCTGTCCCAGACTGAATTACACAGCAAAGCATGTCGAATTAGTTTATTCCATTAACTGCAGTGTCACTCCTCTTGCACATTAGAGAGCAAGGGTTTGGATCATGTGATTTGAGATCATCTGGGATAGAAAAGTGAACATCAAGTAAACACTGATCATGTTTCAACCAAAGACCGCTCAGACTGCAGCCACAGAATTGAACCAGATTGCATGGAAATATGATAACAAACTGGGCTGGGAGTATCATTTGAAAGCAACAAAGTACATGCAGTCCTATCTAATAATCTGATTAAACCTCAAGAACCACTTCCGTCCAGACCACTTCAGCTTTCTCAACACAGATAAAAAAGGGAAACCCTGCCCGAATCAGCATCTCTGCCGAGTTAAAAACACTACTACTGCCCAATAGTCAGTTTATAAAAATCAGTTTATACTTTTAGGCATCAGTTTTGGTCCGAAAAAAGTAGGCTATATGAATAAAAGTGTGATAGGTGTAGAATTATTATTCTTTTTTAAATAAACATACAGTGGACAATTTCTAGAAAGTGAACTTAGATATTTGATTTTCTAATGCAATCAGATTTATGTTTACATGCTTTTTTGGCCACTGTATAATCCAATAAATACAGTAAAACTATAGCCAGAAATCCATTCTGTGTAATCTGCAGAAAATAAATATAATAGGTTTATGTGCTATACAAACCATTAGCACATTCATGTTAGAAATATTTTGTGTGCAAAGTTTTGAATCAAAACGTTGTATAATTGAATTCGCTTTTAATGAAAATGTTCGGATGCTGAAAATGAGACTTACCTGTTTGCTGCCGTCACTCGGGCTCACCAGGCTGGTGGTCTCACTAGGTTTGGCCTTGTCTGAGGCGGTCATGCTGACGAGAGAAAGACAGAATCAGAAGCACAGAATGAAAGGCAGCTGTCCGCTCCTCCTCCACAAAGGAAAACACAAGCCACTACCCACGTCTCATTCATCACATACATGAAAACACCACAGTTACAGTACATGCTTCTCATCATGGGTTCTACTAGTGGCTTATTCTGATCACTGCATGACAAACATTCTCTCTAAACTGCCATTTAAAAGTCAGAAAGATTTTCTAAATGTTTTGAAAGTCTCTTATGTTCACCAAGTCTGCATTTATTTGATTGGACATACAGTAAAAATAGAAATATTGTGAAATATTACAATTTAAAATAACGTCTCGGTTACGTATGTAACCCTCGTTCCCTGAAGGAGGGAACGGAGACGTAGTCGACGTGTCGACTGATTGAGATCACGCTTAGAGAGACCATCATCTTCGAGTACTATTAAAACGAGCCAATGAAATTGGCGTGCGTGAAATGCATTACACACTCCGCCCCGCGCCGCGGGTATAAATACGGAAGTGGATGCACGCACTAGATGTTTTTCGCTGAGGAGCCGAGCGTAACTCAATGTCAGCGGTGGTCCAGCAATAGTGGCTAAGGGACTACGTCTCCGTTCCCTCCTTCAGGGAACGAGGGTTACATACGTAACCGAGACGTTCCCTTTCAGTCGTTCACGTTCAACGTAGTCGACGTGTCGACTGATTGGGATCCCAATAAAAACGCCATCTAGTGCTGCCACCTTCCAGCGCCTAGACAAAAGCCTCCGGATCCCCCCGCAATAGGCGGGGAAAGGACAGGGCTTAGGCCAGGGAAGTCACTGCTGTTCCTACAGGACCACTGGGAAAGCGTTCCCTGAACATGGAAGGAAGGGATGCTGGGGAAGCCACATCCTGCCCGAAGGGAGGTAACATGTGGAAAATACACATATGAACTGGGTGGATGACCGGGCAGTACAACATATGGAATGTCACTGGGGTGGCTCCAGCCTAACAGGGGGAGACTCAACCGAACAGTGACGGCAGAGCAGGCTTTGCCAAGGGAAGACACGGGCTCGCCGCAGGGAGCCGTACCATGGAAGAATGTACATATGGGATCGCCGAAGGGATCACAGCATATGGACCCAGCCTAATACAGGTTCCACAGGCATACGAGTGATAGGCCTAGCTTCAGACATTCCGCCATGTCCGTTGCCGAAGGGTATGGAGGAACACGACAGGGTTCGGCTAAAAAGGGGAACTCAACTGGAGCAAGAATTGCGCACGTATCCAGTCCATAGGAGGGGAATGGCGCAGCAAGCCGACACAACGAACCGGGCTTACAGTGAACTGGCTTCAAGTGAAGGGAGCCCACGGGAAGCAGAGGTTCGACTAAGGTTTCGCCCAGCCCTCAACTCTAGAATATCTGTCAGCGAAGCACTATGTGTCAACGCCTAAGCGGGAGCACACACTCATTAAAGAGGAGCTCACCACCTAAGTGGACATGAGCATCTCAGGACTTTCACCAAGATGAAGGCATTTGCGCCAACCTCGCTTGGAAACAGCCTTCCCTCTCTGCTGATTTCCTTAACAGATAAGAGCTGAACTGAGGTCCTATGGCTATAACAGAGAAAGCCAGGGCTGGGTCTGCCTCCTCCAGGCAGCGCTTGCAGGCTCACCACCTGGTCCTTTTAAGGGAGAGGTAGGAACCTTGGGCACATATCCAGGCCGGGGTCTCAGCTAGTGAGAGTTAGCCGGCCCGAATTCCAGGCACAATTCGTTGACCGAAAGCGAGCAAGTCCCTACCCTCTGGAAGAGACCATTCAAGCAGGAGAACTGTAAAAAACAGAATTTTTAACTCACTGCCTGCAGTGGCTCAAGGGCGGTCTCTGATTGCAATAGCACCAGAGACAGGCCCAAGAGGATAAAGAGGGGCGCAGGGATGACCCTTGCTCCCTCAGGAACCTGACGATCAGGACATGCTTCCCATACTTCTGCATATGATGTTTGTATCATATTGAGGGTGAAGGAACAGCCTACTCCAACCCAACTTGCAGGAAAGAGAGCACTGAAATGACCGAACGGTCTCAGGATCTCCTCACGGAGAGAAGACTCATTCAACGAATAGGTTCCACTTCTAACTAGCGATGCACAACTGCCTTATCTTAAGGGGGTGCTTGCAGAAGTGATGGTCACTACCTCATATCCTTGTGATAGCGACCTGAACCTCCCCGTCCAGTTCTTTGAACGCGGGTGCCATCATGCCCCGTCCCTGAATGTATTCAGGGGAAGTCAGGAAGGCTGTCGAGGGAACTAGATCTGGTTGGGCCAAAAAAAGGGGCAACTATCAAGACCTGTTCAACTCCTGACTTAGCACAGTAGGTGCAAGCGACATGCACACACAAGACAGGAGCACTGCCCAACACTAGATGTGATAATTCACTGAGCTTCAGGAGCATTTCTGCTCAACACCTGAGTGTGATGAACATCACTGAACTTGAGCAGCGCCAAGCGATAATGAATCGCATAGCCGCTTACTTAGAAGGCTCACTGGGGAACGCATTTCTGCTGGGCCCCGGGGTCAGCTGAAAGCCAGTGTCTATTCAAGGGATGTCCGCTCAGACAGAAACACAACTGGCAGAGGGACGAGTCTGGAGGGGCAACAGATGCAACTGTGCGGCCCCGAAGTGGTCCCTGCCCAGCTGGACCGCCAGGGGATTGGAGTCTCCACTCTCCCTGGCCATAGCTGTCGTGAGGCTCGTTGGCGGCACGATTGAGCAGGCTGGAAGAATTTTATAGTGGAATGAAGCGACCTCAGAAGCTCCTGACTCCAAGGAGGAGGTGACGGGCGAGTTGTGACATGCGAGGGAAGCTTAGCGCAACGGTCGCGATGTTGTCCTTTCAGACCAGTGCCAGCTCGCTGAGCAGCGGATAGCTCAAAGCGAGGTGAACTGCCAACTCGAGGTAACGAATACCAATGCAGTCGGAGGTCGCCCAGGCCTCCGTTAAAGCATGCCCTTTGTACATAGCCCCTCAGTCGGTGTTAGTGGACCTGAAGGTCTGAACACGGGCTGAGAGTTTGGCGGCAGGCCGGGGTGATCTTTTATCACACAGGGCGTGCCGCTCTGCCACGGTCACCTCGGGACTCGATCATAAAACTAGTGCTGAAGCGGTCTTCATATGGAGGAAGCCAAGCGGCTGCGTCTGCCATATGCCCC